ACCCACCGCTCAGGGGTGGGGGCCGGGGGGGGAGGACAGTAGTTCCCCCCCCTTATTGTTTTATTAGGGCCCCCACCCACCGCTCAGGGGTGGGGGCCGGGGGGGGGAGGACAGTAGGTCCCCCCCCATTATCTTTATGGCCCCCACCCGCCACTCAGGGTGGGGGAGGGGGGGAGGACAATAGGTCCGCCCCCCCTTATTGTAATTTATGTCTTTTTTTTCAACAGTGAGCAGCCACAGGCTGCTCACTGTTTAGTAGACATGCCCCTACTCGCGGTATAGTGAGTAGGGGCATTTGGGAGATTTAAATCTCTCTTGTGCTATTATGGGGGTCATATTGACCCCCATAGAGTGAGAGGGGGTACTGGGGGGCTTATGAAGTGGTGGGGAGCACTGCTCCCTGCCGCTTCTATAGTTACATATTACAAGGAGGGAGCTGCACGCCGGTAGCTCCCTCCTTGTAATAAACTGCACGAACAAACATACACTGATACATTGTGTTTGTTTGTTCGGCTGATCTTTCTATTCACTCATTCGTCTGTCTGATGAATGAATGAATAGATGAAATTCCCGTTCGCATTTCCAGGTGTTTCACTGGGCATGTGCGGGAATCTCACAGTCTGCCTAGTGTGGGCAGATGACGTGTCCCACAGGGACTTCACCTACCCACACAAAGATGGCGGCGCCCTGAATCAAGATCGGGGCAGAAAATAAGGATTAAAAAATAGGTAATGTGGGGGGCTTAGGGGCATTTGGGGGTGACTAGTGGGTCAATTGGATGTAGTGGAGGCGGGAGGGGGGTTAAAAAAAAAACGGGTTTCGGCATGACAGTGCCGCTTTAAGGAAGCAGTAATCTGCAGTCTCGGGACAGATCTGCTGACTCAAATAGATTGGTGGGCGTACAATGATAATTATCAAGGCTGCATCCTTTCAATAGCCTCAACTCCAGTGTGTGAGCAAAAGTATTTCAGCATTACCTGGGCCACTGTTTTGCAGCATACAGTTACAAGTATGCAAAACAATATTCAGCACACAGGACTAATAGAAGGTAAAAGAAAATTCAACTTAGGAAACTTAGAACATAACCTAGGAGGGTCAACATGTATTTACATAGTGCTCAAGTCCACTAACTCATCAAGAATCAGCTTCCAACCCGGAGGAAGTTGGAGCTATCAAAGACCTAGAGCCAGGATCACTACACAGTGGGACTGTTAAAGAGACAAGGAAAGGAACAGTATGTTGTAGTAGTTCTGGTGCCAGGAATGCTCTGGCACCCACAATTGTTAGTAGTCAAACTTTGCTAAAGGTTTGACTTCATACCTTTCAGGGCCGGCCCATCCATAGTCCGCGCTGAAGCCATGGCTCCAGATGGCACTCTGACAGAAAATTCCGCCCCTGTCATAGCCTAGAACAGGGTTTCCCAACCCCTGACGGCTGTGCAGCAGAACCACACGGGTTGGGATCCTGTGTGAGGGTCTATTGGGTGGCCCATGCTCTTGCCCGATGGACATATGCAATAAGGAGCCCGGTCGTGTGCTGCAGTGCTTTAACAGCACGACCGAGCTCCTTCTGTCATGCACAGAAACCTGGGAGGAAGTAACAGCATATGACTTCCTCCCAGCTCACTCACACAGCCGCGAGGGAGGAGGAAGCCGCAAGGACAGGGCCGGATAGGGAGAGCAGGCCCCCCACTCCCACCAGCCACAACCAGCAGAAGGTAAGAACCTGCCGAATGGCTTAGTTTTTTTAATGTG